TTATTAGTTTGATCAAACCATTTTTTTTCAGTATAGAGCGTTCAAACTGGCTGATGGAACGTTAATAATTTTCACAGCGTGTTCATGAAATTCTGATAATTATTTCGACGATTCGACAAAATTATTTTCAGATCTGTATCTACCAAAACTATTAGATACTTCAGTAAATAAATCATTCTCTCTTTATAATAATATTTCTATGTGACTTTTTAAATATATTTTCCATTTTTTCAAACTGTACGCTAAACACGACCATTGCAGTCCTGAAACGCAGTCCTGAACTAAAGATGGAAAAGTAATATCACAAATAAAATTGATCGTCAATTTAATAATAATAATGATGTGTAAGCATCGTAAAACACCGCAAAGAATGTATCCATAATGAATACTACTTAGTTAGATTTCGAATCTGAACGTGGAATGTATTATAAGGTTTTTGTGACTAAAGTATGCACTTTTAAACTTAAATTGAGATAGGTATAGTGTTTGACATTTGGCGAAAATAAGAGTTCTAGGAATAAAAAAAACAGATCTATAATTTATCTTGTGGATTGAATGAGAGAGAGAGAGAGAGAGAGAGAGAGAGAGAGAGAGAGAGAGAGAGCCCTTACCGGATTTGCCTCTCTTCCTGGAGGACAGGAAAGATTCGCTATTCTAAACTCTTTCGCTGCCGATGCTACGAAGCGGTGAATTACGAAAATTGCTCGATTATTGGCCACATTGGGGTCTATGGGGTGACACGGGGTGCGACGCGGAGGGATGATTTTCGATAACAAAAAGCTTGCGATTATGCACGCAATAATGAGAGCCGGCAGGTGTCTGCGGGGCATCGGGCGTCGCGCATTGTTGGCAGCACAATGAAAGCGCTGCCGGTTGTTTTGCTCGACGGCGTCCGTACGCCGGTTGCTGCTGCATAGATTGTCTCCCTGATGCGTGCCAGTCGATGAAGCACGCCATCGGCGATGCCAAACCCGTGTATGCAATATGTCGTCATGCGTGTTCTATTCCGCGACGGTCCGTGCCACGCGACACGCGTTCGTTCGCGTCTCTTTCGGGTTTCGAAAGGGCCAGTAGGTCGGCGACGCGACGTCCGATCCGATCTGCCTGGTCCGGTCTGCCTCGAACCGACAGCTTAAACGATGTAAACAAGTCCCTCGTTTAAACCGGGTTCCACCTACCACT